AAAATTCTCATTTATAAAATGTTAATACATTTTGATTTTCGCTTTAATAAAATTCCTAACATCGCAACTCACCAAAGAAGAAAGTACATGGTGATGAAAGAACCACGTGAGGATGACTTAAACAAGCATGTACTGGCATGTTTCATGTTTCATGTTTCATGTTTCATGTTTGCCTTTAGGTTGGGACAGTCGAGATGAAAAGAAGCAGAGAGGCTCAAGTGGAAACAGCACAGCGCATTGTCTAATCTCTAACATGGGCAGCACGAAGAAGAACATCATTTCACGACTTTGACTGATGAGCTCTCATCAAGAGTGTAGTAAAGTGAGTTCCCATTATTTTGGGATTGTGAGTCGGTTTGACGATTTTAATTACTTGGGACTAAACCATAAACTACTTAGAGGCATGAGGTTAGTTAATTAAGTTTTGAGACACAACTAGCTTTCAAGTTCAAACCTTGTTGGACGCATGATGGTGCCCACCCCTTGTCCCTCAACAACATTCTCCAAATCCAAAGTTTCTGTTTCCTGTCGCGTGGGTCGAAATTGGTTACTAGTGTCTAATTGTCTCTTTTATCATGTGTTTCTTTGGATGTTTAAGCTTTTGGATTGCTTAATCCTAGGTTTATAGTGGAAAAACCAATAACTTTACGATTTTTATAAAAACACATTTCCACTATTTAAAGTACTTAACAAGTTTCAAACTTTGTTTTCATATATATAATTTTATATCAAAATTAAGAATACAAAAATTTTAAAGTTTGTACCTTACTTTAGAGATCCAATGACATTACTCATTGAACAGGTGCACTTCTTCTTTCTTTGGACGGGTTTAAAAAAAAAAAATTTAAGTTTGTAAAAATGTTATTATCTCTTATATTTTATTTATCATTATAAATTAACTACTATCACACCATATAATTAATATTATCTCTCATGTGTGATCCATTGTTACAAAATAGTAAGTTTTTTAAAAAATACAACTCAAATTACATAACTTAATTAGTATATATTTAAGAGTAAGGAATTACAAAATTTATATTTCTTTATCCAAAATCAAATGGAAAAAACCTAAACAAAGACAAAGAGATTGCATGTCCAACATCCAGTTAAACCATTGATTAGAGATCAGAGAAAGTGGGATGGGAAGGGAAGGGGAAGGGTTGTCCTAAATTGAGTAGGAGAATTCATACATCCTCCGAACAAGAAAACAGACATTCACATTCCCAAACCCTCAAAGTGAGAATGTGGGAACACAAAGAGCAGACAAAAGCACCGTCAGATCCCAATATCGATACTATCCCACTCATCTTTTGCTTTCTTCACACCACCACGATCCAACTCTCAAAGTCTCACCCAACTTCTATGAATAATTTAACCTAAAGTAACCTAAGGGTTTTATTATTATTATTATTATTATATTTATAATAAAATAAAATAAAATAAAATAAAATAAGTGGTGAGGCTGACCTGACTCTGGTGTTTGAAAATTGAAAACGACAAAGCTGGGACTTGGAAGGCTCGAAGAT